CCCTTCGTCAGCCCCCCCCCCCACACACACACATTTTCACCACTTATTTTGTTTGGTAACTCGGGATAGTGGAAAATAATTTCTGTCTCGCTGTGACACTTTTGTAGTATGCGTTTCGGGTTGTAGCCTCATTTTAGAGCGGCTGCGGTAGTGAAAGAACGAGCCAAAAAGAAAAATAAATGAAGTGAGAGAGATAGATAGAATATCTTCAACCTGCTGTGGGTAGAATAAGGAGTTGAGTGCGAATCTCCTCGCGGTACATCCAATTTTCACCAAATTGATTGTACTCCAATCATCTTACCTCTCTCTCTCTCTCACTCCTCCATCTATTTTTAGCTCTTTCCAGTGTGGATCCCCATGCTCTGCGGACGACATCGTCAGGTGAGTGAGTGTGTCCTACTCTGTGTAGAATACGTTTTGATTCGAAGTGGTGTACAGTGTCACATGTATACCACTACGGTTAGTAGAAAATCGTTCTACTTCCTTGGTCCCTCATGGTACAACCAAGACTGTATACAGACGCAGGGTAATTGTGTCTCAAATGTGACCTGCTCAGTTATTACTTTTGACTTACCTGGTGTTAGATTATGAACCAGTAAAATGATTACCGTCTGGCAACTTGATGAGAGGGATATGCGAACCAGAGTTTTCTGACATCACTCTTCCCTCCTCCTCCTCCTCCTCCTGTAAATGACACCATGAACTAATTTGATACTTTAACTCCCACTGGTCTCACCGCACGCACGATGTCCCGATTTGCCACATTGTCTAATTCAGTAACTGGTGCCACGCATAGGATGTTTGAGTTGTAACCGGAAGATCTTTTTCAATTTCGTTCACTGACGGTAACGTTCATCCCGTTTCTTTTCCCCCTTCTGTGACCATGCCTATTAGGAGAGAAACAGCAGACAAGAGTACTAGAGTGGAAAATTAGGGGCAGGTAACGTTACGAAGCATTAGTGAACATTATTCAAATCTATAGATTGATGAAGATCTGTTCACTGGACAAGTAAGACCTGAATTCTGGAGGTATTACGAGACGATTGTTTACTGTGGTGTAACTCTCCGCTGTGCCATGTACTATCATGAACCTTTCCTGTATCGTTGATTTTTTTAAAACAATAAGTGACACCAAATAAGTGAAAATGTTTTTTTCCGTAAGACTGTGACATATGGCCAATAATGATGGGACTCATATTTTAAGTGCAACTTGAAGCCGACGTTCTTTGGATTGACGGGAAAACAACTCTGTGGCTTTGTTCCACGTGTGCTCCAGCCACGACGCAAAGAGATACTCTTAAGACAGTAACATCTGTCTCCGAAACATTGGATACGCGGCAGCTATTGCAATCGTGAATGAAAGAAAAATTCTTGTCTAGTTGAATTTTGAGGGAAAACAATGGAAGATAATTGAATTGATTCTGCAAATGTATCTTCGTAAGCACTAGACCTCAGTTACTATCACCGTAAACATTTGACTTATCCTCATTTAACACTATTTCTTTTTCTTGTTTATTTTCAATGTGATGTTGCACTCCATTGTGTTTACATCGGACCTCTCGAACCCACTGAAAATGATCGATTTTTGACCGACAAAAGTTACCCGGAAACCTGTTAAAGCGATTGCAAAAGTGTGCTGAATGGGAGCCCCCAGAACCGTACAATCGTCTTCTGCTGTTGTTGTCCCTTCCGGACCCGGCGGGATCGGGGACTGAAACGAAACAGTCATCAGGTTCAAACGACCCGGGAGATCGCGCACTGTTCCAGACGAGTACACCATCAATGCCTGGTCTGTCGGCCCCGGCTTTATTAGCCTGTCAAGCCAACACCCTGATGGGTTGTAGTCCGCTAATGAACTCCACTAGAGAACCACCTGAAGAAGGAATTCCCGTTTGCGGTGTAGTTCAGTGTGCCGGTCACGCACTGGCCTCAAGCACTCCGTACGCGAGTGACGGAGTAGGAACCGGAGTCGGTGTGGGCGCGGGTGCATTGGGTACGGACTTGCTCACCAGTCGCTTGGTAGCTTGGTTGAAAAAGCACATTTTTGTACTGGGAAGAAATGAGGATCAGCATTCGACCGCGTCGCATATATTCGTTCACTGAAAGTGTTCTATACCTGTTCCCTAAAAGAACACCATCCCATGAGATCCTACTTGTTGTCTCCTTTCATTTTGAACAGTTTAATTTACATTAATTTATCTCCTAACCATCGATTGTGTATTTTATACATGAGACTGAGAAAATAGATACTGCATTCTCTTTTCAAAATGTGATGCGTAATCGGGATTCCCTACTCGAGTGCATAAGATAAACAATGAAGTGACTGAAATCAAAAGATTGGATAAACGAGGTTGTTTCGCTTAAAAGTAACTCCTATGAATTCGTACGGTCACTAGGGCATGGGTTCTTCTGAAATTAATTAACTGATAGTTCCTAGTAGGGATAATTGACCCACTGGCTTGTGGGTCAGATTATTGAGTCAAAGGCTCCGGTTAGGCATCCCAAAGAAAAACCCCTTCGTTGGTGTGGGCTGCCACGAAATATGTCGTGCCCTAAAGTCAGACGCACATTTGGTAAACCATATTTCCCATCTATCTAGTTCTTCTTCTCAATCTCAAATAATCCCATGTGCCTCCTGTTTGTACCAGCCATAGGATACCACTCAGCGTTCAACTAATAAGGGCAACCACTCAGAGGCTACCAGATGTTCGAAACCAAAATCCCCTTTTCACTTAGTAGCACTTATTGCCCGCACACTATACCAAATCGGATAACAAGCTGCCTTGACTAGAACCCTTGAAACTTTCAATTTAGATGTATGCTGTGCCTCCGAAACACGCATACAAGGCCCTACTTCAATCATCTCCCTCCGTTCCCCAGATCCAGCCTCATCCTCAAGCTACACTTCGTGTGCCAGGCGATTCGGCATCCGAAGCTCGCGGTGTTGCTGGTGTTGGGATTACGCTAAGTGACAAGGCCGAGCGTTCACTTCTCGACTGCATCCCGGTTAGCAGCCGACTTTGCGCCGTACGTCTGGATGTTTCAGTACGGATCAACAGCTACAGAACTGTCGTGTATAACACTCCTTGTCTACTGCATATCGCTGTATTCATAACATTTCCCTTTTATACGTTTTAGCCTATATGCCAGGGTTGTTAGACGAATAAAGCCTTACATCTCTGGGCTCTCAATCTTCTCTCTCTTCCGAGCAACTACCGACTGTTGTCCTCTCGTATTCAATACATAACAATTTATTCGTCTAAACAATGGATCGGCCTTATCGACCGGAACGCTTCGACGCGGATCCAAGTTGTCCCTCAGCCGCGAAAGTCTGGAATCATTGGCTTCGCACATTCACCTTGTTTATCGCCAGAGCGGCGAAATCAGATGACGAAAAGCTAGAGCACCTCATTGGATGCGTTTCTCCCACCGTTTACGAGTATATTGCCGAGAGTGAAACGTTCCAATGCGCTATGACGATTCTGGGGAAGCTTTACGTGAAATCGAAGAACGAGTTTTTGCTCGACACATACTGTCTACCAGTAAACAGGAAGCAGGTCAGAGTCTTGATCA